AACAGATAAGAAAAACAGAAGAAAAATTGTGTTTTTTCGTCTTTTTAGTCAGACTAGCTGCTTTGTTTTTGTGATAAGTTGTCTCCTTGTTGTACATTTTTCAGTTGCATGAAAGACAGGTCAGTAATGTGGTATAAAAAGAGCATCTTAGAAAGGAAGAGTTTCATCAGTCTATAAAAACTGCGTCTTTAAATTGTGAAAAAAAAATCAGAATAACATCCCTCAATGTAAAATTGTAAAGGCTTGAATATCTCATAATCTACAATACATAACATCATCAATGCATTATGAGAATGTGGAGGAATCTCTGTGCGCAAGGGACAAAGCCCAAAATCAATATTGCAGTCCTGTGATTTTCAGGCCTTAATATAGCACTGCATTACAAAAAAGTATGCCTGTGTCATGGAAATCACTGCATGGGAACACTTGCAGAAATTGCTGTATGTGAATCATAATCATAATTTACTGTGCCAACGACAAATCCAAGTTAAAGAAAAAGAAGAACATGGTCCAGGAACACCGCCATCTTCTCTGGGCAAAATGCATTTAAAATGCACAAATTGAAAAACTTTTCTATGGTCAGATCAATTCTCTGGACTAAAGAAGAGATGGGCCTTCTAAAGGTAACACTTCTGATGGTATGGGTGTGCATTACTGACCATGAAATTGGCAACTTGCACATCTGGAAAGGCACCATCAATGCTGATAGTTATATACAGATTTTAGAGCAATGCTCTAAATGTTGATGACATTTTTTCAGAGAATTTGTTGCATAAGACAGTGATAAATGACATACTGGCTCTATTACAGCAGTGTGGCTTCATAGTAGAAGAGTCTTTTTTTAGATCAGTTGCTGCCATCAAATTTAAAATGGGCTAATATTTGTCTTTAAAAGGTACATTTTCTCAGTTTAAACACTTGGTATGTTTTCTATGTTTTTTTGTGAATTGTTTATGAGTTCAAGAGCTTTTCATTTGGGGCTATTTTTCATCTGCCTGAAACACACTTGCTTCCACAAAAAAGCCTCTCTAACCTTATGGCTGATTTAGTCCAATATATAATAATGTTAAATTCTGCTTGATATTAGGGTTGCTAAGGTTTCATTTGAAACTTCTGTCGATACAAGTGATTGCTCAAAATGAATTTTAGTGGCAGCCCTGTGACATACTAGCGACCTGTACAAGGTATATCCTGCCTGTCACCCTATGGTAGCTCGAATAGGCTCCAGCACCCCTTCAACCCTGAATTGGATAAATAGAGGTGAATGGATGGAGATTTTAGTTGCCACTATATCAGCCCACCTTATGGCACATCATTTAGAGAGGGAGCTGCTGCTGCTTTGCTCTGTATGGCTCTTTCTAAAATTAAGCCCATGTGTTTCATTGTGGTAATTTGTGCTGTCTAATTGTGATAGATATAGTGTCACATATAAAACTCTCCCACTGCCTGTTACAACTGCTGACAGCTAAATCAATCTTAGCATGTTAGTTATGCTGTGCTCGCCTTTCTTTTGAAAGAAATTTGTGAAGAATGAATTTCCCTTACTTGCTGCCTTTTCTCCCGCTTGTTTTGTTTTGATTCTTTGATTTTGCTTTGATTTGTTTCATCCATGTGCAGTGAAATTGATTTCATTTAGTTAGGTTAAATCTCCTGTAGATACGTTTCTATTGATATTGTTAAACAAATGTTAGCTTGTGTATGTCGCAGTAATGTTGGGCTAATATCTGTCAAAGTGTATAAAGATTTTAAATAAAACATATATTTGTTGTTTACAAAGATGCTTTTTTGTTTTGTTTGTTTTCTTTTGTGTAACAGCAAAATGTACATTACTTAACTGTCCTGTAGCTGATGCGGTGTTTCCTGGAGGAAAAGATTATAAAAGGATGAAGAATTCTTTTTCTACAGTTAAAGCTGAAGATTCATAAAACTTCCAGAAATACCAGTAAAGTTCACCAATGTTTGACTGGTGTTTACTATAGATTCTGCATTATCCACTTTTCTGTGATGTGACCATGCACAGAGTGGTCAGTAGAAGAAGGTTTAACTCAGCTGACATAGCTGCAGATGAAGATGAAGATGCAGATACATGGTACTGGACTGTGAGCACGGGGCCCACTAAAGGATGTTGGAACCTTGTGCCACCTTCACAAAGCCTTTTCCTGACAGTTTGATAACTAACATGCACAGGAATAGCCTGCTGGAGGTCATTCTGTGGGAGTCTGGCAGCTCCTCCTAGTAGAAATGAGCAGACACTGATCTTGCCCTTTAGGGTGAGGCCTTTCTATGGCCCTGTCCAACTCTCTTTGTGCAACCTGCCATCTCCTGGTATCTCCTCCATATACTCAAGACTGAGCTCGGAGACACAGCAAACCTTCTTGCATGGATGTGCCATCCTGGAGGAGTTGGACTACCTGTGCAACCAGAATTGGCTGTAAGCATCTGGGCTACCAGCAGTGACAAGGACAGTAGCTAAAAACCAAACAAAAGGAAAATCAGTCAGGAGGGAAAGTAGAGAAATGGTCTGTGGACACTGTGGCTCTCCAGTGCACCTGTTGCCACTTTTATTTATCATCACCATATGTGATGATAGCGCACAAGCGCCACATATTTAAATGTTTTCCAGAAAAAGACTCCAAACGAGGAACATTCACTGTGTCCAGTCTAATCATTTATCATCACGCTGCCACATTTAAGAAATTGTTTCCTGTTCTTCTGTTTAGTTTTAGCACAGGTTATCTACTGTAATAACATGTCTTTACCTGTTTATTCAAACGGATCATCTCTGTTCAAAACTTGCACTTATTAAAGGTAACTGAAAACAAACCATCTGGCATCCATCATTGTAAATTCACATGAGCCTAGGCCCTGTAATGTTTCATACTTTTTATTTATTTCATGTAAAATTACGCTTTTTTTTTTCTTTTTTTAGACCGATCATATCTCAGTTTTACAGGTCCTTCTTAAAAGATCAGCATATTGTGATAAAGTGCATTTTTTCTGTAATGTACTGATAAACATTAGACTTTCATATATTTTAGATTCATTACACACAACTGAAGTAGTTCAAACCTTTTATTGTTTTAATATTGATGATTTTGGCATACAGCTCATGAAAACCCAAAATTCCTATCTCAAAAAAATTCTGACCAATAAAAGAAAAGTGTTTTTAATACAAAAAAAGTCAACCTTCAAATAATCATGTTCAGTTATGCACTCAATACTTGGTCGGGAATCCTTTCTCAGAAATGACTGCTTCAATGCGGCGTGGCATGGAGGCAATCAGCCTGTGGCACTGCTGAGGTGTTATGGAGGCCCAGGATGCTTCGATAGCGGCCTTAAGCTCATCCAGAGTGTTGGGTCTTGCGTCTCTCAACTTTCTCTTCACAATATCCCACAGATTCTCTATGGGGTTCAGGTAAGGAGAGTTGGCAGGCCAATTGAGCACAGTAATACCATGGTCAGTAAACCATTTACCAGTGGTTTTGGCACTGTGAGCAGGTGCCAGGTCGTGCTGAAAAATGAAATCTTCATCTCCATAAAGCTTTTCAGCAGATGGAATCATGAATAGGTCCCCCAAGATCTGGAATCGGTTCTTCTCCACAATCTTCCTCAGGGTCTGGTCACCTCTTCTCATTGTGCAGCGTTTTCTGCCACACTTTTTCCTTCCCACAGACTTCCCACTGAGGTGCCTTGATACAGCACTCTGGGAACAGCCTATTCGTTCAGAAATTTCTTTCTGTGTCTTACCCTCCTGCTTGAGGGTGTCAATGATGGCCTTCTGGACAGCAGTCAGGTCGGCAGTCTTACCCATGATTGCGATTTTGAGTAATGAACCAGGCTGGGAGTTTTTAAAAGCCTCAGGAATCTTTTGCAGGTGTTTAGAGTTAATTCGTTGATTCAGATGAATAGGTTAATAGCTCGTTTAGAGAACCTTTTCATGATATGCTGATTTTTTGAGATAGGAATTTTGGGTTTTCATGAGCTGTATGCCAAAATCATCAATATTAAAACAATGAAAGGCTTGAACTACTTCAGTTGTGTGTAATGAATCTAAAATATATGAAAGTCTAATGTTTATCAGTACATTACCGAAAATAATGAACTTTATCACAATATGCTGATTTTTTGAGAAGGACCTGTATGTGTACAGCTGAACATTGATGAAAAATGTCTGATTTAAGTATAAGATGGGGAAAATCCCTAAATTTCACAATACTTAAAATAACAAAACTCTAAAAATTTAATTGACTATTATTTTTTATTTGTTTTATTTTCAATGTTCTTGAAAGTTAAAAAAAAAAAAAGTGAGGGAAGGAAATAAGGCAAGCTGACTGCAGATTAGTGAACTTCAGTTTGGAAGCCGTTCATGTGTGAATTTTATCATGGTCCTGCCTGCAGTGGAGTCACAGTGGTTACAATAGCCTAGATTAAAGACGCAACTCAAAAATAATACTGTCATTTCCTCTATTTCTAAACCATCATGATCTCACTGCAGATTGTGTGAGACCAATCAGCGAGGACCAGAATGAAGACCACACAGGAGAAATTGGTAAAAGAAAACAAGACGTTTATTTTGTATTTTGGCTGACACAAACCTGACCTGGGAAAATACTTTATAGAAGTAAAGTTTATATTACAAAAAAAACCATCCCCCAAATAAATAAACTCAGAGACATTAAATAAACTAAACTCAAGACTAAACCATATTGCAAAGGAAAGAATCAAGAATCTAAAAATAAACTCAGTCAGAGCGTATTAAAAATGTGTATTACAGGAATCATAATCAGAGATCCCATTTTCAAAGCACAAATATAGAGGCAGAGCTTATGAGGTGAGATGAGATGAGATGAGATGAGATGAGCTTGAGTTTCCTGTAGTGTGACTAGCTACAGTGACAAACTAGTCACGCCTCACTCACAAAGAAAAACCACACAAAGAGGAACCTTTGCCACTCTGCTTCAGTTCTTTAAAAAGGACATTCAGACATTTCTTTTCTCATCATGAACACATCAAACAGCTCCACAGAAGATGACCGGGTTTATGCTGGGATCTTTGGCTGCATTATGGTGATAGGTCTGCCACTGAATGCAGTCTCACTGTGGATTCTTCTTCGCCGCCACAGCCTCAAATCACCCAACGCTGTCTTCATGGTGAACCTGGCACTCTCAGACCTGCTAGCCATCTTCTCTTTGCCCATGAGGATCTACCATCATGCAACAGGCACCCCACTGGGAATTTTCACATGCCTCTTCAGCGTAATAATCTTTCGCAAAAACCTCCGCTCCAGCGCCTCCTTCATCACCTTCATAAGCGTGGACCGACTGCTGGCTGTGGTTTATCCTCTGAGGTCTCGCCATCTTCGGACCTCGTGCAATGCCTGGAAAGGAGCAGCGCTCGTCTGGGGGTTTTTCCTGGTGGTAAATATCCCAGAGGGCATAGGATTTTTTAAACACTTACAGAACCACACAGAACACAATTGTTTTCAATCTCATTATTATAAAAGTATAACACGATCAGCAATTATTTACCTTCAGATTGTGTTACTGGTCACAATGCTAGCAGTCAACATTGTGTGCACCGTTATGGTTTCTTGGACTCTACACAAACATCTCAGTGACTCTGCAAAGGTCAGAAACAAGGTGAACGTAATGCTGATTTTTGCCATCAACTTGCTTATATTCTGCACATGTTTTCTGCCCATGCCACTACACATACTTACAAAAAGCAAAACCAGCATAACTCCACTGGCATGTCTGACTGTTTTGAGCTGCTGTCTGGATCCACTGATGTATTATTTTTCTTTTGACTCCTTCTGGAAGAAAAAAGATGACACGGGAAGAGAACTATAGATTAGTGACCTGCTAGAGTTGCTATCAGATGTCCCACGATACATGCCTGTTTTTTGGGTTTTTTTGTTTTTGTTTTTTACAAAGTAGCTCGTTTCTGCACAAGATTCTTAAGTAGTTCAACCACATGCACAGTTTTCAGCAGTTAACCATCAATGTTCATTTCTTCTGTAACATTTGTGTCAAGCCCAGAAAGTGAAGGAGTGAAAGAGGCTTGGCCTAGTGGTTTCATGTTCTATTTTCACTGCAACATGAAAACCTCAACCACAAATCGATGGCTGACTTAGTAGAAACTGTGAAAAAAAGGCAGCTGCAACACTTTTTTGTGTTTGCAAAACTGCGTCCTTACTTGTCTTCAGTTTACATTAAGTCAATATCCTGATCAGTATCATGTAATAAGTTTGTCAGATTTAACACTCTGACATGAGAAGATGTCCCCTCCCCCCAGAAGAAACAGAGTCTTCCGGAAGTCACGTGTGGAACTACATACTGTCAGGGACATGAAACAAACAACCTTTTCTCATATCGTTGTTGCTTTGGCCTAATATTTAATCAAGACGTATAAGAGTAATATCAATCTCCTCGTTTCTCTTTTGGCAAATAAAACAGCATATACATAAGAATAACTCTGACAGATGGGTGTGTGTGTATGCATGTAAAGTACCACATGAATGAATAATGTTGAGGATAAATTAAGAATAATTAAACATTCAGCAGAAAAGCTGGTTTAAAATTGACTAATCACAATATTTTGTAAATATTTTTGAAAACATTACATACAGCACTGTTTAAGCCCATCTCTTCTGTATATTTTAAGTCCTTTCATAAGACTCAGGCCTTTGTTTTTTTTTTGCGAGTGCCTCAGTAGTGCAGCCAACGGCTCAAGGCCTAATTAAGTCCCACCAGATGGAAGGGTGTTGGTGTAAGCCTACAACAGACTGTAAGACGACTGATTATCTCATCTGCAGATTTAAAATTATCCAAAGGTTATCACTGAAAATGCTATTAGACACTGAAGATTGGTTGAATTTCCCAGACTGGCCATTACATTTTACTGTTGTTAATGTTTACTATTGTACACGAAAGTTGATTATGTCATATTCAATATAGTCATCATTTGCCAAGACCTAGTGATCATAATTGACTACAACTGGTAGTTTCTACTTGCCAGGATATAAGGACCAAGTTATCTGGACGTGTCACCACTTTGCCAAGTCTTGGAAGAAGGCCCAAACCGTTACATTCTGCTGGGATGAAATTGGTTTCGATGTTGAGGAACAACCCAGAAACCACAAAAGTTCAACTGTGGCATGAACAGGAAAGTGCTGTAATACTAGGGCCAATGTCCAGTGAGTTTTACTTCATGGTGAACTGAGAAGGTTTCAGAAAAAAAAAACCCTGCTACAAAACCAACACTTTCAAGCTGAAATTTACACCTGCCCACACGAACAGGACAAATGACTTCTGGAGTTTTACCAGTCAAAGAAACAATGATTGAGTTATTTGGCCACAATGGCAAGAGGTATGCTTGTTTAGGTATATTTAAACCTGAGGCTTTCAAACCTAAGAACACTGTATCAGACATCAAGCATGGTGGTGGCAGCACTTTTGTTGTGCATGGAGTAATGAAGGACAAATGTCATGATCCTATGTCTTTGACACAGTTTGTGAGTTTATGATGGTTTTGTGAATCTTTCTTTTGGATTGAACAGATTTTCATCTTCTTGTCCTGTATTAGTTAGTCTGTAGTTTTGTATTTCCCAGTGCATCTGTGTTTAATATTTCTATTTTTTAGTTTTTGCCTGCTCTCATGTCTGTTCTGTCTTCAGCATCTCCTGCTGCTTTCTGTTGTGTGTTTTTTCTCTCCAGTCTGTCGTGTGTTTCCATGTTTATCCCCGTCCTAATGTCAAGCTTTTGTGTCCTTGTCTCAGTCTCTCGTCTCTTGTTTTTTTGTTGTGTGTTTTCAGGTCTCCCGGTTCTGAGTTTCCAAGTTTAGCTTTTTACCTGATGTCTTGTATTTTTTTATACCATTTTTGAAACTTTTAAGTCACAGCATTAAAGTTGCTTTTTTTTTCCAAGTCATATCCTCGACTCAGAGTCCTGCATTTGGGTCCTAGTCTGCCTGCCACACAGCCATGAATGACATTCAGATTCTTCAGCTTCACCTCAAATCAACACCTAGCTGTTTGAAACTTGGACACAGTTGGGTGTTCCAGTTGGACAATGATCTCAAAGACACATTAAAACTGGTTAATCGATAAAGCAGTCTATCATTAAGGTTCTGGAATTACCAGCACTATAGAAAATTTGTGGACTATGGTTAAAATGAACTCCATCAATCTGCCAGAATTACAATAGAAGCTTTTTCATGGCTACCAAAAGCATCTTGCCAAAGTGCAACTTGCTAAGGACATTAATAGAGCCTGTATGAGCGTTTACGTATAGCTTTGACCCTGTGTGGATTGGAGACAATCCCCCCAAAAAGTCAAATGTCTGCAGTCAGTACTTGAGGCTTTTTTAAAGTCATTAAAGACAGAATTCATTAAATGTTATCTGATGACATGATGGCATCAGATAACAATGTACAAGCTCTACTTCCAATATAAACAGAAAAGATAATCCTGAGACCAAAAGCAGTGGTTGAATCACAGTGGCTACGTCCATGTTTTATCCCATCTGTGTAATACAGTCATTTCTTCTAATATTACCCTACATTAACCTACTACAAGTTTCACACTGCATGTAGTTCAAATCACTGACAAAGACTGGAAGATGTAAAAAGCAACTATAAGGGGCATATGTCAAATACAAACAGCAGTTAAGAGCGATTTCATTATGCAAAACAAATAACCAACACATCAAAGTCACCTCTTTTACTTTAAGAGATTTCTTTAGAAAATCTAGGGAGATTTTATGTTTTTGATTAATGGTGACTGGAAATGTAGTTGCTGGCAGAGCTGCAGGTTCACACGAGGATTTTACTATAGAAATGTTTAAATCTGTACAGAATACAAAATAGAAACCGTAAAATGAAAAATACTGGCAGCAGCCAGCGTCAACCCTCAGCCTCCTACTGGATGCTCCCATGGTATCGAATTCAAAATCCTTTGTCAGCTTTTTCTCCAGTTATCACATTCACAGAATTTTCAAAAAAACGTGACCTCTGACCTCCAACCTCGAAGTCTAGGTCACTGAGATTAAAACTTGTCGAAGATACACCTACGCTGTCACTTTGAAACTCCTGCATCGCTTCTTTCTTGAGTCATGGTATTCACAAATTTGGGTGTCCACATTGCTTGCCCACCCACCCGTATGGTGACAACAAAACCCCCTTAGCCTTTTTACATTCATAAGATACTGACTGAAGCCTAGTAACGTTTGAAATAAAGTAACATATGCCTCAACTCAGTCATTTTTTTTACTACTTTATTCACAGACAGATTTCATTGGCAGACAAAATATACAGATCACAGTTGGTTTTGTTCATCTAACATATAATACGCTCCCTTTCACTTGTTTTGACTTTAGTCCAGTCTCTGACTCTGGACTAAGGCTTTAAACGTGGTTTTACAAAACATTCTAAGAGTGCTGTTTCTCTTATACATAAACACATGCAAGGGAAAACAAAGGTTAGTCTAAAACGATTCAGAAAAGTAGTGGG